TTTAGGGTTTTAGGGTTGTAGGAATTAGGGTTTTAGGGTTTTAGGGTTTAGGGCTTCGGGTTTTCTTGCAGCCGCTCTCATGCTTGCGGGGATTCAGTCTCAAGCGCTGGCCGGCATGACCCTTCGCCAGGGACCTGAAGCTGAAAGGAGCAAATGCTTCGATGCCGAGAATTGGGGGGTTTTACGAAAACAAGGGACCCCGAATATAGACCCCAAAATAGTAGGACTCCCTTACAAATCAGGACCCCAATAAGGTGCCCCTCATTTCAGAACCCCCCCCAAATATGAGGTTGTTGAGGCCGTCTCTTCGAGTGAAGCTTTGGCAGCCTTGGCTGCCGAACACCTCGCAGCTCACTGGCCCCTGAATGGCCCCCTGCCTCGCTGTGCTCAGCCACGTCGGCGGCGCGCGGTAGAACTGCAGAGGATGCCGAGGTGGCTGTAGCTGTACTATTCTCTTCTGCAGCTTCTGTAAATTCGGGGGTTCGAGGCTTGTTGGCGGTTGTCCACCTCTGTCCGCCTGTCCGTTTCAAACAAGAAGGCAAGATGATCATGCGGCCAGGCTCTTCTTACAAAGACAGCTCCTTTCTCAAAGCCTCTTCTCAAACTGCCCACCGTCAGCAACGGAGCACGCCTCGGTGGCGCCGGTTCTCCACACGGAGCCGCTGCAAGTTCTCGCGCAGGCGCCGGGTGTTCTCCTGGCACATCACGCCCCCCGAATTTCTGCTACGTTGGATTTGGGACTTCAAGCCCTCTCTTGTCTAGCCGCCAAAGCCTTGAAGCGCCTCGGTGTTGAAACAAGAGGCCTAGTTCGGATTCTCTTGGGACTCACGCCAAGGCATCAAGAGGAGCTCTGCACTTGGCTCGCCGCTATTGCCCTTCCCGGGGCAAGCCGCTCAGTTTGTTGCTGCTGTCATATATAAAGGTTTCAGAACATCTCATGGTATGGGCTGATGCTTGCCGATGGGCAAGGCGACGAGTGCCTGGAACACGCTACCCCTCGAAAATTTGAACCTTCCTCTGAAGAAGAGCAGCATTCTTCAGCTTGGGGTTGGAGGCTTGCAAAAAGCAAAAGCCAAAGAAACCCGAAGGATGTGGAGAGGCTGGGAGCCCTCATCTCGTCACTTCGCCACCTACCTCGCTACTCCTCTCCCCCACTCTCTTGGAGCCCCTGCGCTGTGCGCCCCGCTCAACCCTCGACATGAAGCCAACCCTGACGTAGGAGTCACGCAATCTTAACTCCCACCCAACCCCCCCACCCCTTCCTTTCTTTTTGGGGGGCTTCGGAGCCTAAACCCTAAACCCTAAACCCTGAACCCTAAACCCTAAACCTCCCTGACTTCTTCGATTCGGGGGCGCCTCCAATAGCCGGGCTCCGTGCCGCGTCTCCGCGCAGGCGACGCTTGCGGGGCCTCAAGAGCTCCGCAGCCCCCCGGCGATTCCCCGGGTTTAGTTAGGGTTTAGGGTTTCGGGTTTAGGGTTCAGGGTCTAGGGTCTAGGTTCTAGGGATTTAGGGTTGACTATACTGAACTTGGAACCCTAGCCACAATTCTAATTCTTGCTGTTTCTTAGGAATTACAATTAAAATTAACCCCAAGGATCGAGAAGCCTTCCCCCGCCGATTCATGTACATACCCGATTCATTTACGAAGTTGCAGGTATGTGTGTGTAGGTAGCTGTGTATGTACCCACATCTGCAATCCATAAACTTTGGCGGTTTGATGGCACGTAGATTCGGGGAGAAGTCCTGGGAAAGTCTTGCGCTACATCTTCGACTTGCTGTCTTGATCGTCTCGAGGTTCAAGACGGGAAACGGAAGATTGAAGGCTAAAGAGTCTCAGAACCTCAGAAAACTCTTGGGCGCCCTTTCGAGTTCCGTCGCCCCGTCTTGAAACTCAAGAAGCTCACGAGGTTCAAGATGGGACCACATGGTTGCGCAAGAGCTTTCTGAAACTCTTCAACCTCATTCTCCGGTTTCATGTCTTGAAACCCAAGAGCGGTAGATCGAAGATATTCTGGGGTTTAACGTATGTAACCTGCAGAGCAAGTGCTGTTTGAATAACCACAATACTTACAATGCTTGTAGAAGGTTGACATCTCAAAAGCCGGCCAGCACATCAACAAGTAAGACCAATGAGAGCATTTGCATTCCAAGCCATCCACTCGCTTTTGCAGGGAAGCCTGTGTAAAAATCCCGATATCACTTGCTTATCTGGGATCATCCAGACATTGGAAATGTTGTATGCCAAAAAGATGGCTCTGCCTAAGAAGAAACCGGATCGGCACTAGTTTGAGTTTTTGTACGCGTGGGTGGTACTTTAAGATGTGACGGGCTACGAGCATGTCCAAACAGTTTAAGAATGTGCAAAGGCATGCGCGATGCGCTTCGGAGTGCGATGTGCATTTCGAGCAACAGGTATTGACAGACAGGAACCTACATGTAAAGGATACGATCTGGGAATCTCCTTCGAGAGGATAGGCCACACGATGACAGTGAGATTTTTGGTGGAGGGCGGGCAGCATGTGCAACAGGAATTCTGCATGGCGTACTCCACATCAGGATGCAAGTGTCCCAGTAGCTGTCTCATTTCCAAATTCCAGATTGTGATGCAAACCATGTTGTTTGAAGGCTTGAGTATATGAGACATGAACTAGTGCTAGTTGAGCAATTGCTGGAATGCAAAACACCTGATGGCAATAGAGATGAGGGCAGTGGCAGAGCAGAAAGAACTGTTTCCTGGGTGTAGTGGACATCTCCGAAGTAGAATTATGGAAAACCGATGAAAGAGCACCGATATATGGAAATGCCTCTCTCTAGAAGGGCAAGACGTTGACTGAGAACGATCTGCCTTTGACATCGGGTGAGTCGCACGGGTACGAAGTGCCGCCAAGGAACTGCACGCGTCCTTGGAGCGGGTTTGGTGAGATTACGTCGTCCCACTGAGAACATTCTACTGGTGCTCTGCCAACCTAGCACTGTCGCTGCTCCTGCAGTGGCGAGCTTGAGGATTTTTTGGGGAAGTCTTCGCTCACATCGGCTGCCAAGCATCGGCAAAGGCTGCAGGTGGTGGCGCCGGAGCTTCCCTGCTTTTGGTGGCTGACAGGGAAGTTCAGGAAGGTCAGGGCCAATTCCAGGTTTGTCTTGGGAGAAGGCTTATGCTCAGTTCACCTGAGCCTTGTGTCATCAGGGTGACATGGAGGGGGTGACATGTAGGGGGGTTCCTAAATCGAATGCCTTCATCCTGCCGAATGTTGCAAGCATCAGGCTGGTAGCTTTCAATAGGGTTCAAGGTTTAGGGACTCCGGTTTAGGGTACCATTCTCCTGAAGCTTCTAGAAGGGAACCTTCTTCTTCGGTGCCCAATGGCACCCAGGCTCGGAGACTCAGAGCTCCCGGCCTCACCGGCCGTATTGGAACCACAGGCGCCGTGGACACTGCGACAGGTTGGGGCTCAGCCTTCGCAGCGGCGTAGTATCGGGGTTCGTCATTAATTAGAATAGGGTCTTGGGGGATATCAATGAAAAGGGAAGTACTTGTTCCGACTCCTATATAGCACGCATCCCCATATCTACTAAACTCCCAACTCTCCAAGGTTCAAGCTTCAAGCAGGGCAGGCAGGGCAAACGAAAACATCGATCCACTTACTTATAACCGCACCTGGCAGAAACTATAGCTGCCACGGTGGTGCTTTGAGGGCTCGTGGTTGAAGGCTTGGTTTTTGAGCACGGCTACAGCTCCAGAGAATGGTGCAGGAGAACAGGTTTCAGAGAGCGTAGTTGAGGCAAAGTAGGGTCAACCCGAAAGCGCTCTGAGTGTGTTACGCTTTGCCATAGCTGTGTTCCTCAAAATCGAGCTCAGTGAAATGGGCTCGCGGATGAGCTGCAGGTCCATTGGTTTGCTTTCCACTGGCCTTCACCTTGCCAATAAGCCTTGAAACCCTAAACCCTAAACCCTAGACCCCAAACCCGAAACCCTAAACCCTAGACCCCAAACCCTAAACCCGAAACCTGAAACCCTAAACCCTAAACCCTAAACCCAAGGCCTCCGCAACATCGCTGATTGAAGCCGGCAGAGGTGGCTCATCGGGGGCCATCGGCAAGGGCGGTGTGCCTTCAAGTAGGGTTTAGGGTTTAGGGTTTAGGGTTTAAGGTTGAGGATTCTACCTTAGATCAAGAAAACCCGAGCTGAGAGACTGCGGGATTTGGGATGTGGGTGGTTTGAAGATTTAGGGTTTAGGGTTGGGATGTCGCCCCTTATACCAACAGTCCTTAGTAAGGATTGCAGTATGGGGCTACTATAATCCCCTTTAAGGACTGCTAGTATCAGGGGGAACATCCCAAGTTGAGGGTTCATTTCGTTCCCGGGGTTTGGGAACTTGGGACACTGGCATGCCGGATTGGTCGACTCGACATGGCTCGGCACCCCAGAACGACGCGTGCAGGCAAACCCAAACGGAAAGCTTGTGCACACCCCGGCACGCAACCAATAACAAAATACAGTAGACGAAGCACAACGAACACCCGGGAAAAGAAGAGGAAAGCTGAAAATCGAGGCCGACAGCAACAAAGAAGATCATCATCACAACTCCCCAAGTTCCGGAGCCCTGGCAACCCTACTTGGAGGTTCATGGCACTTATCAACCAATTATGACTGTACTTCTAACTGTACTTACAACCATACTAGGGCACTGAAGGGTCTTATAAGTGGGTTGTAATTACAGTTAGAAGTGGTTGATAAGTACCATGAGCCTCCAAGTATAGAGAGCCAGCCTGGCAGTTCTCCAAGCAGCTCGGCCTGGACTGTGAGGGCAAAGGATGGATTTTCCGTGAAGTTTCGCTCGTTTCCTAGGATGGCCCTAAAAACCCTCTGAAAAACTATTCCTCAATAGGATCCTCTTAAACCCGAAAAGGGAAAACATGAAATATCCCAAGGGCCTACCTAGTTTGGGGTACACTGACCATGGCATAGGCTACAAGATGCAAGGCCTCGGCAGCTGGTGCTGCTTCATAGCCGGCGGACCTGCTGGTGTCTGTCGGCACGGAAACTCACAAGAGGGCTTAAGGTCAGGTTGTCGCATCCACGGTTTTGGGCCTAAGCCCAAGACGCTGCAACAACCCTAGCAGGCACCGAAATGCCTTTAACCTCCCAAGTACACAAGAAAAAAAACGTGTGTACACATGGTGCAAACCACGGAAATCCTATTGTGTGGATTCTGTAGGCATGCTGCTGTGCGCAGCTTGTGCAGAACTTTGGAACTGCTCGGGCTGAAAGCGTTTCTTCGGCGGCCACCTGGGTACCTGATGCAAAGGCCTCACCATATGCTAGATGAAATTGCCCCCACATCGTGTGTGGTTCGACTGGAAGCCCGAAACGGCCTGTGGCGGCCAGTACCAAGGTCCAAGCTTGTGGTCTACCGAGCACCGGGCATCGCAGCCGGCGCCGTCTTTGCGAGATCGCACCTGGTTGTTGCGGCTAAGAGCTGTGGTAGCTGGGTTTGTTGTCTTCGTGCCCCTACACCCAAAGCCCACAAAGCGCCCCAAGCTTCAGCATGGTGTACGCGAAGGAGAAGTGTTGAAAAACAGGTCCCGTAAGATGTTACCCCGAAGTCGTTTAGGCTCCATGCGCGCAAGCCCCAAGTCCCTGAATCAGAACGAGCCCGGGTTTGACGGAGGCTGTCACGAGAGCATCAGAATTATGCCGGCGAAGACCCCAAACAGTAAGATTGTAAATCAAGGGGATCCGCTGCGCTCAGCAACAACCTTATCAAGTTGCTTTCTTGGAGCTGTTAAGACTGTTAAGAGTCGGAACATTCAGTTGTTCCAATCCAAACGACAGATTCTATTGTTTGGATTGAGAACAGCGTTTTGACGGACAGGAGTGGCCGTGTCCTGTGAAGATATTCTGAACGTGTCAGCGATCTTTGTGAATGAAGACGCAGCTTGAGCCAGAAAATTAGTCGCCTGGTCGAGCACGACGGGACGCCGCAGCCATAAGAAAACAACACACCGTTTGCACTACTCAAGTCACGCTCAATGTTTAGGCTTTCGTACTGCAACAACTGCATCCTAAAGCTTGCGACACACTTTTAACGTCAGCAGCTGTTGCGTCGACCGCTACGGTGCTGGCGAAGGCTTCGGCTTGGCGGCCGGCTTGGGTAAGGTTACAAAACTCTTGGCTCCAGCATCGCTACAAGTAAGTATCATTTTCAATTTCCGCGCTGGGGCCAAGTAGGCTTTTGGAAATTTTTGATTCAAGTAGATCACACGTGGAATGGGCTACGCGCTCACAGAAACAAGAGTCCGTGAACAAGAGTTCCAACAGTGTTCGCGCGAAACCCCCAACTCCTAGAGGAAGCAGGCTGCAACCTGCTTGAGGGCCCTGGCCTGTAGGACTTGCACAACATCTGCTGCGCGGAAGGTTGTTCGGCGCCAAACCCCAGATCACACAGGCAGGGGGTTGCAGCCTCCTGGAGGGCCCTGGCCTGTGCGACTTGCAGAGCTCGGCAGCTTCGCTTCAACTCTCACGGGCTGTGCTGGCGGCAGCGAAACTATTTGCTGAGACAGGCCAACCCAGCGCTTGTCGTGCTGCTGCTGCTCTCTTTCTGGTTGCTGTTGCTTTTTCTGCGAAAACCTGAGCAAATGAGTGCGTTAGCTCCGACGGAGGCCCTGATTCGATAATCTCGAAGATCTTTGGGTTCAAACCTACTGTTCGGAGTTTCTCCAAACTTCGGACTCTGCTCAACAGCACATAAACTATGAGATACTGTATGTCCTTGGACGCTCGAGCGGGCATGTGCAGGTGCGCAATGAGACCATCGGCAGTTACCCCCTGCATGCTGTACAAGGCGCATGCCTTTTCGTACATGAGTGGAAACTGGGTGCGCTTGACAGCAGAAGAAAACGAGGCCCCCTTTGAACTGAACTGCCATGTTACTGACTGCGGCTTCACCAACAAAACTCCTGGGAAAAACGAGCAAGCTTGGCATTTGAGGGACGGCCCACTCAAGCGATGCTCGCGACATGGCACCGGGGGAAGGAATTCGATTGCACAGTCGTCCACCCTCACAAAAATCTGGAGCGGCATGTATTGAAGGTACACGACTGGTGTCTCGTGGAACTCTTGCTTGGATCTGCAGAAAGGCTCTGCTGGGTCAAAGGTTATTCCTACGATGGTCCCGGCTGTGTCCTGGCACACAAAGGGAGCAGCAACGTTGCATGTGAGTCTGACACGCATGTTCATGTGAAACATGCAAAAGCCAGGTAGACGTTTTGTCGTTGACAGGCTCGGCTCCTCAAGCATCTCTGCATGGAGGCATTTGTCTGCCGGCTTGCTTGGGCAATCGATCGCTTGACAGCAGAAAAGCACTCTTCCATGGGACGCCGCAGACATCTGCGAGCGCATGTAGACAGCAAAAGTTGTGACAGACCACAAGTAGCAGGATTGAAACCAAGTTTCATACTCTTGTCGCCAAGGCATGGCTTGCCGAGGCACGGGCACGCCTGCGTTTTTCGAGTCTTTCGAGCCGCGACATGCGTCCAAGGATGTGCTTTCCAAGGCTTGTCTTTCTTCGGCTGTCAACTTTTCGCCTCCCGGAACACGCATTTTTCTTAAAATGGATATAAGTAAGGGATCCGTAAACCTCATGGCCGCTTCCATCAAGTAAACCATTTCCACGTTTGCGAACATTGCACAGCCAGCTTTGTGCTCCGCACTGGCTGGCAACGTTACGTCCGACATAAGTGAAGTTTGCTTGGGGACCGGCGGCAGCTGGAGATGATCTCCCAGCATCAAGAAAATTGGAACATCTCCAAAGAGATTTTTCTGTTCGGCGTACGTGTGAATATCTAGGCCGAAGATAGTGGAGCGGGCATACATGGCACGCAGTGCAAGAGCATGTAGCAACGCCGCTGGCAGTTGGGAAAACTCATCCAAGGCAACTGCACCGACAGGCGCAAAAATTGCCTCTAATTTTTTTCGCGCATCATGCTTGCCTAGCGACAACGCGTACGCGCGAAGCGAGTCCGACGGCTTGAGGCTTGCCAAAGTGTGAACCGTTCTGCCGTGGACTCCTCTGGCTGCTTTGTTTGACGGAGCTCCTCGCACCATGCTCCCGAAAAAGGTTTCGAACAAGGGAGTCAGGACTTTCATGAGCAAGGTTGATTTGCCGCAACCACCACCGCCAATGATGGCCATGCGTGCAAGCGCTCCACACTTGGGGAGCAGGTGAGTGGACTTGTCACGTCTGCCAAGAAACGCCTTCTGCATTGGCTCCACCAAAAGTGCAACGATGTCCATTTGCTCGTCATTCATCTTGGCAGCCTGCATCAGCTTCCAAGCCACGTGGCATGGACCCCGCATGCAATCAGGCAGTTCCACCACAACGCACTGAGGCATACCTGCAGCAGCAGCATTCCGCTTCATCAAGTCCAGACGCGCATCCGTCTGCGCGTCTTCAGACATGACTACTGAGGTCACTGAAGCACTGGCAGCCATGGGCACGGCGCTTTCCGCAGATCGCATCTGTTGGATAACTGCAGATTGGTGAGCAGCCAAGTTTGATGTGTCGGCGAAGAGTTGCGCGCTTGTCACCAGCTCCTTGACAGGCCCACCGACTTGCTCCAGCTGTGAACACAAGTCGCCTTCTCGATGCTTGCCTGGCTGCGACGCACGTTTCCGGGCTTCTGTGTGCATTAGAAGGTCTCTGCACTCCTGCGGGCTAAAGGAAACCATTGGCCGTCTGTCCCACATGTTAGCAAAAGACTCGTCCTCGACATCACATTCTTCATCGTACTGCTGCGGTTCTCCGCCAATGAATTCGGTCTGCTTGTCGTTTGTCAAGGAACTGCTGGGATCATCAGGCTCGCTTTCTGAGTCTGCAGGCACACGCTTGTCAACTTGCAATGGCTTTGCGCCTGCCAGCTTCTGCAAATACATATTGTCAAGGACATCAATCATATGCAAAGCATTGAACTCTTCCAAGTGCAATTGGTCCGGGTGCATTCCCGAACAAATGCCAACAAAGCAGCAGACACAATCCAAGATATGGGCAGTGAAGACACCATGCTTCTGAACAAGGCATTGCAACATTGTCGCTCGTAGTCTTGGTTGCTGTGTGCACGGCGGCTGAGATTCCGACTTCGGCCACCATGTGCGAAACAGGCTCGTGTCTACGATGACAGATATCTTTTGAGCACGCTGCATCTTGACGAAGCCCTTTTGCGCCAGGTTTCGTAGCTCAGCCTTGCGGCTCTTCCACGTCGAACAGAAAGACCACTGCGAGCGACGCTGAGTTAGGCAGCATTTGTGCAGCATCGGGTCCGCGCAAGAACCAGCCTCTTTGCAAGACAGGTGTGTGTTGCACAACATAAGTTTGTACGCAGCCAAGTCCTCTCCATCTCGCCTTTCGGCTTTGGGCATCGCAATTCCACAATGTCTAGGAATGACAGGCCTGTTGCGCAGGCACTGCACGTACTGTGTAGCAATGCAGTAGTGCGGCTCAAAAAAAAAATACGCGGAAGGCTGCGAGCTTTGTCGTGGCTTCGGCACTCTGTCGATGTATGCAACATACAGCTGCAAAGACAAACCTTGCAGGAAAGGTCCGCGGTGTAGCCAGTCATCATGACGGGATGTGGTGACACGTAAGCTCCTCGGTAGAACGACGGCGGGTAAGTCGTCTTTTGAACTGTCTTCACTTGCGTCGTCTTCGGAATGGTCAACCGTATCTTTGCTGAGCGCCGCGGCAGGTTGGATTTCGTATTCTACAGTTGACACAGACACCTTTTCACTTCCAGGACACAGAGCCTCAAGGACTTGGTCGGAATTGCCATTCAGCAAACGTTGGCAATGCATCATCATGTACCATATCCGGTTCAAGAACAAGGGCATGTCCATGTGCGTTGTCCAAAAATGCTCTTCCGTCTCGATGAACAAAGCGAGCTCCGTGGCACTCTGCCACGAGGAGCGGTTTGCTGAGAACGCAAGTCTCAACAAGACTTTCTGGGCTTTCTGCTTCACCGTCAAATTGTCTGCATTGGCCTGCGGCGCCTTCATCTCTGATTCTAACCGCTCGAGGCCACGAGCATATTGCGTAGTTACTTGGTTGAGTTCTTCCAACGGCTTGCACTGGTACTTGGTAATGTAATAGTCGGTGTTGTTTGCACTTATGTGAGTTGCAATGATCGAGCGCAGCAGATCTCGAACGTAGAGCTCATCAATTTGCCGCACTGTTATGCTTTGCAAGTTGAACGCAACATGCTTCAGATCGCAGTTTAATTCGATCGTGGCTTCATCTCTGCTGAGCAGGAACGCTCGAAGCATGATCCGGAAGTCAAAGTTACACCGGGTAGCAGACTGCGCCACGTCAGAAGTTGGCCCTCTAAACGGCTGCAAGCGGACAGGCTGCACCAGGCCCAGTTCGTTTCGGGCGTTGGAGGTCTGTACGTGTGGCACTGTCACGAGG